AACTTTTTTTTTGATTTTTCGAATTCAAATAACGACCAAAGGGCTTTAATATGATATCGCACCTCACCCTCTAATCGAAATTACTTGGGAATCAATTTATAAAAACGGATTCTTTGCCATAGGTACTTCCCACCCGTTGAGATTGGTCGAAATAAAAACTTTTTGGTTTTTTGCCCGGCCTGATAATTGAGTACGAAGCTTCTTTTCACACATTTTTTGAAACAGGTAATGCATTTTTGAACAGTTTCTTCATTGTTTCGCTTGCAATTAGCAAGTGTTATCAATCGGAATAAAAACTTTTTTTCGGTTTAACGACTTGTTTAACAAATCAATTAAATAACTTGGTTTCTTGCTTCATAAAAAGTTGAAACTTTAGAGCGTATCTTGCACAGTTAGTCTGTAGCTAACGAATACGCCTGGGACGCCAAAGTTCATGGGTTCGATTCTGACCATGACCTGTTTTTTTTCTCAAACGGGAAATATTCCGTTTCATATAAATTTTCAGCTTTTTTATTTTTCTGCTCATGTTTTGTCGGCTTTGTTGCCACATTTTAGAATTTTTTGCTGCATGCAGTTTTTATTGTAAGTGCACTTTATGTTTTCTTTTACTCCTGTAATTTGTAATTTTGCTAGCCTCGACTTCGTATAATTTCCTTTTGTTTAAAGTATTTTTTGCTTGAAAAATTTTTTGGCCTAAATTATTTTGGCCTATATTTAATCGGCGTATTAACTTAATTTTGTGTCGTTAGAGGGAACCATTACTTGTTTGCTTTCGTCCGTATCGCTCAAAATGTTAGAAATCTCAGAATAGTATTTATAGTACAAAGCTTTTTCTGAAAAGATTTTTTGTCGCTCGAAAATTGTTTTTTTTATGATTCTTATTTTCATTAAACGCTGTCAAATGTATTTCTGGACGTGTTTTCAGCAAGTAGAACATCATTCCAGGTAAAACTTTGAAGTTTTTTAGGTGTGATTTCTTCGAAAACGTTTCCGATTTTTTGGAATCAGTGGCTCTTTCCTTTCCTGTCTGCTAGCTTGCAATGCTATTTTTGTAGTATCGTAGCATCGCAAACGGTGTACATTTTCGATTACTCTTTTTCATGCAGCAGGAGCTATATTGGCAAAAAAATCGCATTTTTTTGTGCAGATTTATATTGCGCGAGCATTTATGATAAGAGCATTTTTGCTTTTTCCTGGTGTTTGCGAATAGCACTTTTGCACTTGAAAAATTAACTTTAAAACTAGAACTAAAAAAAGTGTCAAATCTCTTTTGTCAGTTAAAACTTTTAATTTTGTAGATTGTTTCTAGATTGTTTTTGAGCGTTTTGGAATAGCGTGATCTTCTTTTGTTTTGTGAGCTGAAAGATAGAAAACTTGAAATTAGTTGCGCGTTCAGTATTTGGATGGAACTTTTTCAAAATGCACATGTACTAAATATAATGGGCTAAAAGGTACATTTTTTGTCTCGAAGTAAATTTTTTTTCAATCCTGTTTAACTAAATTTCTTGGTGTTTTTAATCAGCGAAACGTAGTGTTATACAAGGAAGCAGTTTTTACCGGTCTCTAAGACATTTATTTTGGTGTTTTGTATTTCCTGTATTTAAAATCGAATACTTCTGTTTTGATTTTTTTGCTTTTATGTAAGTTATTTTTTTAATTGGTATGATATTTGGACCGATATCAATGGTATGATATCATTTTATTTGGTATGAATAATTAATCATACCGGAAATGCAGTTTATCCTCACAAGTTTTTTTCAATAGTTTCACGAGGTTTCAAGTTAGAATCTATGTAATCTCCAAATTTTGTTCCGGCCCCCTTAAGGAACATGGCTGGTTTTTTTTCTTCTTAATGGTGATGGAAAGTTCGTGTACCTTATTTATTGTGATTCATTTTCCGAAAAAAAATCCTAAAAAAATGATTGCGCAATATGGACTGGCATCAAAAACGCAAATTTATTTCGCCGATAGAGCTTTGCTGTAAAAAAATGCGTCTTGAAAAAAGAAGCTTTGCACTATAACTCAATTACGCGGTCTGGCAAAAAAGCTTTAAAAAACTTGTTCCGACCAACCTCGAAGGGTGGGAAGTAAATATGGCGTACGGTCCCTTTTTCCGGCTTTTTCCGACTAGAGGTTGAAGTGTGGTATCATATTAAGACCCTACTGGTCGTTATTCGAATTTTAAAATTCAAAAAAGTTCTCTATCGAGAAAAACTGGTCTGGATATTTTCGGTTTTGCAGACTAACTCAGACAAAAATTACTGTTCAGAACATCTAGCTTCTAATCAAAAGCTGACCACCCAATTAACTCTACTACAATTTTAACGTTAATTTAGAATTTATTACTTCTCATTCTGGCAATAATTGGCCTTACTCAATGCACTTGGCTAAACAGCAAGATAATTTTTTAAAAAGCTGCTGTAATTTTTTTTACTCTTGCGATCTCTTTACACTCTTTTACTTTTACTTTACACTCTTTTTAGAATTTAAAAAAAAACCGTTGTGGTCGGAACATTTTATGCTAATTGCACAGCAACTGGCTCCCCTTGTTTTCAATTTTTCCGATTTTTTTTTGTTTTTATGGCGTTCAGTTCAGTTCTGTCAGCTTAGTCTCCGACTTGTTGTTGTTTGAAAGTTTTCCTCGTAAAATCTTTTAGAGGCCAATTTTTGGACATATGATCAATTTTTCTACCTAGAATTTACATGGCTTTTTGGCTTAAATTTTTCAGATTCATTTTCTCGACGGACGATCTTCCAGCTTAGTTTCTCTAATTCCGTACACTTGGGATAATGAAAACTTTTCATTCATTTTTATATGCTTTTCGTTAATTAAAAATTAGCTGTTTTTATTAAAATTTTCGTTAATCATCCTTTTGTAAGATTTTTTATCTTTCTTTTCAGTTTTCACTATTTTATTTTTGTACTTTGACATTTATTGCGTGGTGCTGATTGCCAATATTTTTTGCCTTTTTCTTGAAAAGTCCATAGTTTTCAATTGAGTGATTCTTTTGCTAACGAGAGGATGTCGTAGTTTTGAATATTTTATTTTGATTGTTAAAAAACCCGTCGCCTCTGTCTTCATTTGGCGTTCAACTCGGATTTTGCGTGCCAAAATATAGAATTCGGAATTTTGGACTTGGGTTTTTTTATACAAACCTACAGTTTGAACTTTGGTTTTGCAAATTTTGCAAGTCACAAAACCTGTATTCTCCTCTAATTAATACTCCGCTATTTATAAACATTGTTAAACTATTTCATAAGGTTTATTTCTACCAGCGAACGCTAGGTCACATGTTATAAACACATTTACCCAAAAAACAACTTTATCAAAATTCGGTCACAATTATTTTCATTTTACAAACCCGGGTTAAGAAATTTCGAAAACAAGCTTAAAATTGTGTTTCCCGCAAATGTTTCTGTTAGCTGTAGCTCATTAGAAATTTTAGAAATGTCAAAGTTAGATTTAAATTTGGCTGAATTCCAAGAAAGATCAGACTACAAGTCTAGCCGGTTTTGTCTTACCCAAAGTGGCTTAGCAAAATTATCGTTTCGAAGAAACTTTTGACGGATCGGATATGTTTTGTTAGACTTTTATTTTGGAAACCGTGGGTTCTTTTGCCCCCATTTCCGAGTTTTCAGTCTTTTGAAGTATATTACCTGACAATTAATAAATGGGAGTTCCTTGCTATAACTTTTCATAACTAAAACCTAACTAAGCCTATCTTGGTATATATCGAAACGGTATTTTGCTTCATGTTGTTTTCAAACTTAACTAGTAGCTTCAGGCTTCAAATGAACATACAATTCCCGCTCAAAATGTCGAATTGTTACCGAATCGAAGATACATTATGCAATAAAGTTACATCATATAAACATAACTATTATGTAACATTTTGTCCATTGGTTATTTCTCAAAACAGTTTACTGTCGATAACTTTCGGTACTTGTTTTTTAATCATTTTTATTAGGTTATCGGTTTATTCGAGTTTATGTTTACTGGAAGGTTGACAGTATCAAAGAAGCGATAATAGCATTGCAAATAAAATTACCTGTGCCATATAATCGTATCAAAAGTAACTTTCCCTCAAAATGCCAAACCTTAAAAAGGGAGTTCTGCTATCATTAAACCTAAAACTCTTTCAAGCTTGAGACGTTTGGCAGAGTTTGTCAAATTGCTCATGCGAACCCGGCCTTCGAAGTCCATATGCATATTTGGTTTTAAATTATAATCCAAGCATTTACAAGTTGATAGCTTGAAAGGAGAAAAAGTTATAAAAACTAGTTTAATAACAAGGTAATCGTTAAAGTTCTAGAGATCAACTATCCATGATTAACACGCAATGGTGAAAATCCATTCAGTTGAATGTTAAAGTTGTAGCTCAATTTTGAAACGTTGGTTGTTAAAATAAATGACCGAGAGACAAAATTTTAACAAAATTTTTGTCTGCTCTTTCCAAGGTTGTTGAAAAAGTGAATTTTGCTGGAGATTCCAATTCAGAGTCTAAATATCTTTCCTGGTAGTCTTTAGAGAGTTTTTAGGTTTATATACACGTTTTTTGAACCGTGATTTTTGTAAAGGAGTCGAATTCCTGTGAGAAGAGTAATAACGTTCATCCTGGAATATATCCTTAGCTAATCGTCATTTAAAAACGGAAGTTGTTAGTGTTTTGGAGCCATTTAATTCTACTCTAGCTTAAGTAATATCGGAATTTTCAAATTTTTTGCTTTTGAAAAAAAACTTCAAAAAATTTTGAAATTTTTTATTATGATATTTAAATTTGGATTTTGTAAACTCTATTTGGTATTTACTTAAAATTATCTGTCCCTTTGAACTAATTCGGTGAATGAATAAGCATATGCGAACCATGGACCTAATAACGAATAACCTAACCTTCCTTCTGCAATTTTTGCAACGAGTAGAAGTGAGGATGGTTGTTGACAATTGATTTGAGGATTTATGACTTTTTCGGGAGCTATTTGAAAATTAGTTTTCATTTTAGACGAGTTGCCCCCCAGTACCAATATCAAGGACCCCTCACTCGGAACAACACCCGTTCCAGACGACCCAAAAAGCCCAAACAAGGGTGGACTCTTGGGGAACCCGGCGATTCTAGCGGCCATTATATCCGGAGTTCTAGCCGGTGTTTTCTGCTTGGTGCTAATTGCAGTTTTCATCATTTGCCGCATGCGCAAACGAGACACGGGGTCAATTGAACTGGAAATGACCAAAGATGTCCCCCCTCATCTGAATTTGAATGGGAATGGGGGAGCTGATCCCAGAAATATGTATATGTACAACAAACCTGCATGTCGCGAAATTTACGCTTAATTATTTCTCCGAAGAAAAAGAAGAAAATGAACTAAGTTGGAAAAAATAGTTGTTGTCTTTTCTCCAAAACAAGTAACCTATTTGATGTTAAACGCACAGAATTTTAATACAGTTTAGCCATTTTATGTTATTTTTTCCTGGGGGATTTTAAAAGATAAATTAATTTGGAATCAAGTTCGGTTTAAATCCAATTTTTGAAACCTGGATACAAATAAAGAAAAAGACTTGAATCCTTTTTTCCGAAATGATTTATTATACATGCTTAAAACTCTTTCTTTAAAATTTTTTTTAAACCTTACTTAAATTCTCTTAAGTTCGTCACTGATTTTTGATTTTGAAATTTGACTCAAATTCGAACGATTCATGTTATGACTTGACTTTTTGACGGCTTTTGGAGCCCCTCCCCACCCCAGAACAAGTTTCAACTTCGGAACTAATTTAGTTTTATATTAACACTGCCTATGTTTTGAGTAGCACTAAGTCGCTAGATTTCAATCATGTTTAATTGCAAATTTAACGAACCCATAACTAAAGTAGGGGCTAAAGTTTGATTCAAATTTAGTGTCATTTGATTTATATTTATGAAAAAAGCCAATTCAGAAGTTGGATTAATATACACCGAAATTGCTTAAAATTAATTTCAATAACCAATTTTAAATTTCTGACAGAATTTACTGAAATTCGAGTTTATAGTTTTCTTTTTCGTAAATTTTATTTTGTGCTATATGTGTATATAGAGTAATTAAAGTTTCAAACCCACAATTTTTCTCATTCAAGTTTTATGTTCGAGACATGAAAATTGTCAAGTGGTATAAAATACAAAGATAATGTAAGTTTTGACGTCTTCATTAAGTTTATTGTCAAATTTATCATGCTCAATAAGTCTTCTTAATTAATTCGAATTTTAAGCCTGAGGTGAGCTTTTCATGCATCTCTAAAAAATATACGGTTTAATTTTTTCAAGGTTTGGTTAAATCTAAACGAAAAGCTGAATTTTTCATGCAGGTTCAAAAAGAGAAATAAAGCTTTGATTTGAAAAACTAAAAATTAAATTCTTGGATTTATAATCCAAATTAAAATCGCATTTTAACAAGGAATGGAGGTTACTGCGCAAGTAGCACCGAATTTTCCGACCATAGTCTTTAGCAAACTACGGTTAAGAAAGTTTTTTTTTTTCCAAATTATTGTAGTTTTTTTTTGCTTGGAGTGATAAAGGGATCTGACGTAAAATATAATTTAAGCATATAAGACAGTCATAGTAAAATAGGCAAGTTTGACAAAAAAATTTTGCGGAAAAATGATTAGAAAAACAAAAAAAAATTTAACAAGCTTAAGTTTCAAAATTTTTTGCAGAAAAATTTTTGAAAATGTGCAACCAGTTTTTTCCGACACTGAAAAAAATTCTTGGAAATATTTTAATATCGTTCAATTTAAAACTGAAATTTGAAACCTGTTTTTCTCGACACTCGGAAAGTGTCTTGGAAATTTTTAAATAGGGTTCGAATTAAAACTGAAGGGGCTTTAATATGAGATATCACTCAACCCCGTCCGATGACTATTTGTGGTACCTGATTTTGCGTGAAAAAAAAACAAGCACACCTGAATACAAAGTTCCTCCCCATTTTCAATGGTCGGAACAAAAACAATTCAGCAGCCTAAAAATTAGTTTTTAGATCTAGCGTACAAAAGCTGACATTTTCGGGTTAATGGTAATTGGCTTTACTTCGAATTGCTTAAAGAATGTAGACTTGATGATTAAATATGTCTTATTAAATTAGTGAAAAGCGTAATTGAAAAAATAACAGAAAACCGCCATTGAACAATATTTTTATAATGATTCTTGGTTGTCGTCTGAGATTGTATTGCACGATATATGGGCGCCTTTTTTCCTCCTTTTTTTTTTCTTGCTCTGTTTTTGTTCAACTGTTGAGAGCTTCAGTGGTGATTTTAGGATGGAACCCTAGTCCTCTTTTCGGTACTTCTTTATGACATCCAATTCTGGTCAACCACCCATAAAATGGTTTTTTACGCGGTTTCCGGGCCAATACACACTACTTGTGAAGGCGCTTCTAAAATGTTCTCGGAAACTGTCGGTATTTGTGGCATTATTTCTTAGAATTTTGCCTGCGGTGCATAAATATTTTGAGACACTATTATTGACGAGAAAGGGTCTTAATAGTGCAAGAAACTAAAAACCCAATTCGATCGACCTAAAAAAAGTCAAGACAAAGTTTTAATTTTTGATTGAAAATCTGCCCCTTCGAGAAAATTTTGATAGACTTTGCATTTTTGGTTTGTATTTTTTTTCTACCTGCTCTAGAATATTGCTAGGTTAAGAAGATTGTGATAAATTGGAACAAAAAAGTCCTGTAACTGGATGAGTAGTACACCGAAAAAGATGATATCGTTCTTTTTTCTAAAATTTGTATTTTTTCCTCGATATTCCAAACAAATTAGGAAAAATATACAGCCGGTTTTATGTTCTTTAGACCAATTAAAAAAGATCAAAATGACAGTGTCGGACGCGATCAGCGAATTTTTGGATAGCCAGGCGAATGTAGTTAAAATTGTCTGCAATTAGAAACTAAATCATTTATACTTGACACTTCAATAACCGAAAAGTTCATGCGTGGCAAATTATCTGGCACTCATCATAATTCCAAAATAAATTGAAACTAACTAATTGGTCATATTTATTCGACTCAAATTTTAGCACTTAATATTGGATATTTTCAGTTCAAAATTCATAGTTTAAGTCGAGTTAAAAGGTAGTCGAAACATTCAGGGCCTTACTCTGATATACAAGCAGTCTTTGTATTCAAATAAACTCAAGGAATTGTTTTGGAAACCATTTTCTAGACTTCATGGAAGTGTTTTTTAAATAAACAATCAAAATTGTTGGTTTTTATCAAGTTTCCCCAAAATTATGTGCCGCAAATAATTTAATACATGACTGCTCGTATCAGGGCGAAGCCCTGGATGTTCCGACTGCCTTTTAAGGTTTATGGTGCATTAAAAAATTAAATGAAATTTGAAATTTTTTTAAATGAAAATCATCCCCCCACACGCCATACAAAATACAAAAGGATAGATTTTGCTCCTTGTAACAAATCAATTATGGCGAATAAGCTTCTTTTAACCAATTTGGAACGATTTTTAAGACGGATTAACTCTCCGCTTACGCGTTAATAGAGCGAAATATATTGCGCTTTAATTGTCCCAAATTGGCCAAAATGGCAATCTTTAAACCCCCATAACTTTGCGAAAAATGATCACAGGTAAAAAATCTTTTCAAATTTGAGCTCAGGACAACAATACCTTTCGAATGATATAAAAAAATTCCGTCAAAAATGGCTAGTAAAAAAGTCGAAATTTGTCTGAAGAAAAAAAAAACCCACCCCGAGCACAAATATTCCGTTACTTTCGTATCGAAAGTCGGAACAAAAAGTCAGTTGTTGTTGAAGGATCTATTATCTTGAAGCCCTTTCAGTCTTATTTAAAGCTGCACAAAAAAACTGTTAACGATTTCAAAAGCAATCAAATTGAAAGATTTTGCCGAATGAATGAAAGAATTTTTGCTGAAGGGTCGAAAACTAAAAGGTAATTTTTTCAATCTTTAGCAAGTGAAGGAAAAAAAATAAAATATATATTTTTTAAAACTCATCAACTTATTCTTCACTTTTGCAGAGGTACTGTATTTGAAGTTTTTTGCTCTACTTATACAATTTCCTGTTTCGTTTGTTGTACATTCACTGGTTTCTTTTGTTGCTATGGCCTTTTATGTGTCATCGTCCGATTGGAAAAATGTTAGTTTAAGAAAGTCTCGTCCAGATCTTTGAATTTATAAAAGTATCAATACCAGAATACACTTTTAAAAATATATCAGCCTATGTCCCATCCGATAATCTGGAAACGTGATAGACTTTTCAGATTTTTTTCTGGAAAAATCTATAACTATCTTTGATCAATTTCGTTTTAATGTCTTTTTTCAACAATATGTCAGATCAAAATCAATTCGTCGCATTGCTACGTGTTATATCTTTGGAACTGAGTCGAATAAAAGTAAGTCCCCCTCTTTCTCACCTTTGATATTAGTCATCAAACCGAATTTGAAAAAGTTGTTGTTTGTATATGAGTATCTGACACCAAATTCTTTAATGGGTACTTAAGACTAGCTTACGGTGAGGATTGAAAAAAGACACGCTCTTTGTTGCAAAAAATTTGTTTTCAAACTTAGCGCTTACATAAGATTTGGCCAAAAGTATAAAAAGAAATGTGATGTTTAAAATGACTTCTTTATGTTTTTTTAACACTTAAAACTGTTTTTTTTTATTATTCAAACCTGGAAAAACGCTCAAAAAATAAATGGAACTCTATTAAAACTTTAATTGTCAATCATTCATTTTATTGTTCTTATGTACCGTATGTTCGTCTTTCGAAAAAAGAGAATTTTTTTTTTCTAAATTACGATTTAAAAAAATCTCTGTCAAACCCAAAAAAAAGCACAGACAAAATCGTTTTGGATAAATTGATCAAAAAGAATTACTTTTTTGCAGACAAAACATCCCTGTCATAGTCTTCCAAAAATATGTCAGAATTGTCCTAAGTCTAGATTTAGCATAGGTGTTAGGGCTGCTTAACAGCTTACAAATACCCTGCTTGTCAATTATCATGGTAATTAGAAAATGCTACCCTTCGATCAGGAAGATTAAGTTATTACACATAGAGTAAACTGATTCAAAATCAACAAAAAGAGCCAGTGATGTATGATTACTGCATTCTAATAGTTGATTTGCAATTAATTGAAGCAATTCAAACACCAAAAACATTGTTTTTAGTTTTTTTTTTAAATTGTCATGAAAATCATCATCTCGAAAAAATCATAGGTTACCTGTTTCTGAAGTTCGTAATGATTTTTAACATCGAAATTTTAAAAATATATACATAATGTTGCATGATCACTGCATGCAATTGTGTATAAAGTCAGTTTGAGATTTTGTTTTCATGATTTTTATGATATAATAAAGTTTCCAGGCGTCGTAAAAGTGATTACATCACAACTTTTGTAGCTATTTTAGCCCAGAACCAAAGAGTTGGGACACTTTTCTTCATAAAATTTGGCTGACAGATGTACCAACAAAATTAAGTAGCAATATGCGCATCGATTTTGATAAATTGGTTTAAAAATTTAAAAATAAAGTGCCCCAAATTTTTTCGCCTTAATGTCAAATAATTGTTTTGCTAGTCATTTGAAGCAATTCATTATTTTAACTATTTCGCCTTTGATTCAACCATTAACTTCTATAATGAAGTTTTGGTTTAATTTACTTCATTTTTTCAGTTTTTGGTTCAGACTTTGAGTGTGTGTGTGATGTTTTTGCTTTGCTTTGCATGGTTTTATCTGGAACTATTCTGTGTTGGATGTTTTTCCTCGTCCACTCAAAGAATTATATTGCACAATTACAAAAACTTTTTTGGTAGAAAACTTGAAAAAATTAATTCTCAAAACAATCGCATTATCAGAGCATTTAGTTTTTTTTCTGCTTATTTCAAGTCATTTGTAGAAACGTTTATTTATAACAGAAAACAACATGTCAATTTAATTTTTGTTTATGAGAACTTCTCCAAATTTTGAAGCGGCTAACGTTTCATCATAAAATAATATCTGTTCAAAAACAATGACAACAGAATGTTTCCTCTTCACAAAAACTTTTTATTTTTTATACTTGAGAAAATTAAATGCCAGCATGACCAAAAACGTT